GCAGTAATGCAGTTGCTGAAATAAGGGAATTCCCAGGAAAAAAACCATAACATCTAAAGAGATATGGGAGTTTATTAGAAAGCTTATAGTTTCTTTTATCCCATTAGTATTTCTTCTCTCACATTTCCTGTCTGAAGCTTGGTGTTGGGAGTACCCTGCATAGTGAAGATGTTCTCTTTAAAYTGAGCTGCCCAAGAGCCCTTCCCATGGGAGAGGAGCTGCTGCTTTTGAAGTCTGCAGAGGGGCTTTCAGAAGCTTTTTTCAGAAGGCTTGTAGCTGGYTTCCTTTGTTCCACACAGTCTGTTTACTTGACTGTAAAGTGCCATTTACAGACAGAAGTTAGGAAGTGGATTTTTACTTGCCCAGCTAATCTCTCATCATGATCATTAGGCCACAAAGCAGAAGTCTGTCACCAAAAGCTATTACAATCCAGATAGTGAATTAGTTTTCTTTATTTCAAGATTCTTAAATTATCAAAGTTCATTGCCTGAAGGCAGCAACAGATACTGAATCATTCCAGCCTAGAATATACAGTACTTTGAACCTAGATACTCCAATGATTGGCACCCTTTTAATGCATAAGAGACCCTCTTATTTTGTACAGGCTTAAAATAGGTTTAAAGGAAACTTAGAATTTTCTCTTTTTTTGGCTGCAAATGCTCAAGTTTCATTTTCTGGATACTATATTAAGATATATGTACAAAATGGATAAAAGATTTTCTTACAGTCTTTGTATCATATAGGATGGAGGAAAATGACAGGAAAAATGCCTGCTGTATTACTGCCAGTATATACTTGGTAGGCTCAAATCAACTCAGATTTGTGTGGAGTAGATCTAAAAAACCAGCTAATTATTATAAAAAAGGTGGAATTTAAAATGTGACTGAAATATGCTGAAACTAGGTTCACTTGATAATGGTTGTGCTGAGCCAGATTGCATTTGCTGGCATTTATACTTGGATTTTTGCAAAGCAGATGTGATTGAGAGGCTAAGCTGATCTCTAAGAATATTGCAGACAACAGTGTGTCTTCAGAGGCTGGTTTTTATGATTGCTTTTTTTTGTTCTTTTCACTGCCCTTGACTGGTTGTCTGTCTAGAAAGTGAATATGATACAGGCAGCATTGAAGAGACCTGTGATCTGGCAGACACTTCTCCATTATTCCGGCTGGACATTTTTGCTCTCTAAGAGCAGTGCTCTGGTGCTGCAGTAGTGCAAATGTTTAAAAAAAATAAAACTGAGCCCCAGTGATAAATGGGAAGGATGAGTAAAATGGTTCAGTGAGTAGAAGGGGTGGGTTGCTGGGAAGAGAAAAAGGGCATTGCTTCTGTAAGCTGTGGTGAAGCCCAGAGAAATTACAAGGAGTTAAATTTCCCAGTTTAGGGACAGGCAATGTCCTTGTTCCTTGCCCCCCATCTTGGAGAAAGCAGGACCACAAAGAGTGGCCCTGGGTGGTCCAGGTATGGGAGGACAAGGGAGATGAAGGGGCAACACATAACCCAGCCCACATTGTCCTGGCCCCATCTGACTTGTCACAGCATCCCAGGGAATTTGACCGAGTATGGGGACATTCCTTCAGGCTGCTGGCTGTCATATCTTCTCCCTRTAGTTTTATCCTGTTCTGGAAGAAATGTTTGCCCTGCCTGAGGCATTTGGCAAAACTCTCACCTTGGACATGCGCTAGAAGCATCTTCCATGTATTTTCACCAAAGTCTGGCTCTGCACTCACACGTTCAGCAGTGTTACTGTCTGGCTTGCTGTATGATTTGYTAATAAGTGTGCAACAGAGTCCAGACAGTTGAGAGTTTTTCTCTAAATGTCATTGGATTTTGGGTCAAACTGTTTRTCATTCTAGGTTACTTCTGCTTCTTCATTAGAAAGCCAAGGTTTTGTGTTCATGTGTAACATACAAAGTGGAGGGTTCGTATTCTTTATTTACATGGARGATGGCACTGTGGTATAGTCTCCTGTGGCCTCCTGAGAATGGGACACTGCTAAATTGTGCTTGATTTATGACTGAGGGTAACACAATTTCACAACACACAAAAAAACCCCACAGGATATGACATGAAAATAAAATTATAAAATACAAGTATATTGGATCACAAAAGAACTACTGGCAATTGTGAATTTCTATCTCAATGCACCTTTTCCCTCTGCTCAAAACCCAGACATAAACGATGTTTATAKGAGGTTGTGTTTAGTGTCAAAGGGATTGCAAAACACAGAGTAATGAGTCTGTACGCATTCTCTTCTCCAGTCTGAAATGGCGTGACTCAGGAAATATATTTATTTCTAAGGATGTTTCTCAAGGACCTATACTTTTAGCAGTGGGTGAATTCTTGCTTTCCAAGGCTGACTGTAGATCGTGGCTGTCTGAGATAATTAATATATGATTTCCTGTTTTGAATTGTGGTAAAAAAAGTAGTAACTSTTTTACAGTTGTATTTAGTCTTCTGCTAGTGATGTTTCTGTTTTGAATTCTATGGACAATGGTACAAAATACWTTGACACTTTTTTACAGATTGTGAGCTTTGTCTGTAAACCTGTGGCTGTGATTTTAGTATTTTCWCTAGGATGTATTATTGTTATTACTATTACAACTAAGCTACTGTGATGGACTGTTTTATGCTGATATAAACCCTGCTAACCCCTCCTCCAAAGCTGCTCCTAGGACCTAGGAGAGAGTGATACAACAGTGTGCTCTCTGCCCATCTAAACTAGAGAAAGGGTTAGAACTTGTGCTTATATTTTTGAGATCTTCTATTTTTAAGTCTCCTTAAAGGGTCCCTGTTTTAATGGATTATTGAACAGGGTGCTGCTTTGCTACACAATGACTCATGCTAAATAATTGTGGTGAGGCATATTTGTGTGTAGAGCAGATAAAACTCATTCTGTCTGGGCACACAGGAAGGGAGGGGAAACATGCGGGATGTTGTTTAATCCATGAGCAACTCTGTGAACCTGCCTCATCYGGGAACCTCAGGGAGCAGCCGCACTGTGCAATCACAGGTCATGGTTTCTTCCATCATTGCCATTTTTTGAGGGATTTCAGGAACTCTATGGTGTTCCTCAGCTGGTCTGGGAACTCTAAGTCTGTTCCTCAGCTTGCTCCTGGAATCCTCCTGCTGTYTTACTCCTTCCACCTCCACCCTAGGGAAGGAGTTGTCTACTCACAGCAGAGACCCTCAGGGGAGAATGACCTTTTCCCTGTAGCCTCCCCAGTGGATATTCTCCTAGATATCCACCTACAGTTCTTGATCAGAAAAAAATCAGACCCTTTATGAATGAGGAGACGGCCCCCCTGTTCTACAAAATCAACTTTGTCCACATTGCTGCTTCCTTCCAAAATGGCATGGAATAGCACACCATTCTTAGGTGGCACATAAGTGCCCAAAGGAAAAGATTTAATAACAAAATCACAGCTGACTTACAAAGTTAAGTGCTACGATTTATTAATGCTGTTCTACCTTGCATGTTTGTATTTCCAAGTTTTCCTGTTTGGACAACTGTTCAGACTGTTTGGACTGAAAACAAAGRCTTCTGGTGTGATAATGAAATGACTCAAAAATTTAGATTTTCTGATGCAGCAGATAATCTCATTTTTATTCCAGTGCTGGAAACTAAAGTTCAAACAGTAWTAACAAGTACAGTTGGGGCATTTTGTCTAAGCACGGAAAGTTGAGGTGAAGGAAGTTGCATCCAGCTGGTGGACGGTCAYGGGCTCAGCTTTGCTTGATATCTCCACTGACTCGGATGAGGGGATCAAGTGCATGCTCAGTCAGTTTTCAGGTGACACCAGGCTGGGCCAGCTGGAGTGGGAGAGTTCATCTGCTGCAGATCCTCTGCAGAGGGATCTGGACAGGCTGGATCCATGGGCTGAGGCCAATGGGGTGAGGTTCAACAAGGCCAAGGGCYGGGTCCTGCCCTTGGCTCACAACAACCCCAGGCAGTGCCACAGGCTGGGACAGAGGGGCTGGAAAGGACCTGGGGGTGCTGTGACAGCAGCTGAACATGAGCCAGGGTGTGCCCAGGTGGCCAAGAAGGCCAATGGCATCCTGGCCTGGATCAGCAATGGTGTGGCCAGCAGGAGCAGGGCAGGGATTGTCCCCCTGTCCTGGGCACTGCTGAGGCCACACCTCGAGRGCTGTGTCCAGTTCTGGGCCCCTCCCTGCAGGAAGGAACTGAGGGGCTGCAGCGAGTCCAGAGAAGGCAACGGAGCTGGGGAAGGGTCTGGAGCACAAATCCTGTGAGGAGCAGCTGAGGGAGCTGGGGGTGTTCAGCCTGGAGAAAAGGAGGCTCAGAGTGACCTCATGGCTCCCTGAACTGCCTGAGAGGAGGCCATGGCCAGGTGGGGGTCAGTGTCTTCTCTCAGGTAACAAGCAATAGCACAAGCAGAACTCACCTCAGTTTGCACCAGGGAGCGTTTAAACTGGGCATTAGGAAAAGGTTGTCAAGTATTGAAACACTCAGGGAAGTGGTGGAATGACCATCTCTGCAAATACTTAAAAGATGTGTAGATGTGGCACTTGCTGATATGGTTTATTGGTGGATTTGACAGTGGTGGGTTAAAGTTTCTTCAGCCTAAAAGATTCTGTGATTCAAATGTACCTCAGCAGGCTGGTGATGTGTTTTCTATGCCATAAGCTTAACTTATGCCTTAAGGTAAAGGAGGATAACCGACCTCTGAATCATAGGTTTTGCCTCCATTCAGCTATAACATTCCCATTCGCATTAGTAAAGCTGCAATTTTTGTTAAGGCAAACAGTGAATGAGTCATTGAACTCTGCCCACAGTATTACAACACACGTAATGGGTGCTAGAGAGGCATTTTGCATGGGCAGGGTACTGTAGCGAAAATACTGTTTTTTCAAGCGTGTGTCAAAGGCTATATTTATTTGCTTCTGTTGGGGGAGCTGGCACAGATGAGGAGCCTGTTTCACTGGGACCAAAATTCTTCTTTAATTGCTTCTGTGATAATCACAATCTTTCTGTTAACAGGCATTCTTCATAATTGCTGTGAAGCCTACAATGTTGGGCTCCTGGAAGCAAAAATATTTTCTGGTCCACCAAGAGAGCAGTTTGGATATGCAATTCAACAGTTTATAAATGAACAAGGCAAATGGTAAGCAGTTTGAATGGCTTGGTTTATATCCAGCTAAAAGGTTTAGTTAAAACTATTGCAAATCTTAATATTTCTTTTATAATTCCACGTTTCATTTAAATGCATTCTGGMTAATTTCTTTTTATATTAGAGCTATCTTTTTGAAAATAAATACTTAATGTTATTAAACCAAAAGTTTATATATTCTGAAGACGTATGCATGTGATGGTTCAGGCTTTTTTCCTTAACACCATGTGACCTGAGTCTTTCTTTTGGTAATCTTACTTTCATTTCCAATACATTAATTTCCTCAGGCTTGCAGTTTCTGTAGAATTATAACTTTCGTTGCATTCCTTCATGTACCCAGAGCATCTTCATTACCCTTTGTATATATGTGGGATATTTTTTCATTTTAATGTTGCTCAGGTTGAAACAAATTATTAGGGCTAAGGAGTTCCAGTTATTGATATTAAAACCAAATGAAATCTGTATAATTTTGTGTTTGATACAGTATTAACTGTTTGCATCTCATGGGATAATGTCTTTGGATGTATGTATCAACAACAGTCACAGCAAAGTCTTGTGTCTGTAACACAATCTCTTCGGCCTTAAAATTTGATCTGAAATTCACTGTTGCCACAACATTGGGTTTGATGAGCAATTAGTAGAGTAATTTTTCTAGTAACTGTTGGTTTCAAAAAGAACTTTAACATACTACAAGGAGTAAGCACATTTAGTGGAAAGCACATTGTTTTCTGTGGCCTCAGCAGTCACAAGGCTTAAGGTGTCTCTGTGTGTGAGGACTGTAAGTCTGTGAAACTAGCTGAGAACAACTACCTGTTAAGTGTTTATTCGGGTTTAAGTCTACAGCAGAAAGCCACAGCAGATAATATAAGTTATGGTATGCTGAGACATTTCAGACCTAGTTTCCCCCCTAGGCAGGAGCAGTGTCAGAACCCAAACAGCACAAACTGCCCATTTTGCTCCAGTGGCAACAGATGGATACCCGCTATTCGCATTATTCTCGGTAAAAACAAAGTAAGATGTCAGAATCTGAAATTCATGGAAATGCACAGGAAAATGAAAAGCTGCAGTTTAAAGTTTGGGAAAAGTGGTACAGACTTAGTGAGGCAGCTGAGCCATTTGTGCGCAGCGCTGCTCGGGGGCACCACGCAGCTGCAGTCGGCTGTACATGCAAACCCACGGACCCCCGAGATCGCAGCRGTGCCTGCCTCCAGGGACAAGGAGWSAAAGTAAGGGGAGAGCAGAGCTGTATCCTCTGGCATTTGCTATCCCTCCGTTGGGTAGGCTTTCAACCTACCCCCACCCCTCATCTGATGCAGTGGTGGCTTCTCACTGCATTTGTGACTGCTTTAATTATGTGTTTAGTCACCCATAGATCAGASATCTCAGGTTTTTTTAGAAAAAAACAAACTTCTGTGTAAAGCCACTGAAGGAGAACAAGAATGTGTCTGTAGTGAATTGAATGCCTTTGCCTCATTCTTGGAGAAATTGCCTTGTTTATATTTATTGTGATATTTTCTGTAAGCGTGCAGCAGTAGCAGTAGGTGCCTGATCCATTCAAGCTATTTGTATTTCTCTCTTTTATTTTTGCTTCTGATATAAAAACCCCTCTAGTACCACTTTCTTGGATAGTGTGTCCTGTCTTGCAGGGCAAAAAAAAGGAACTTAGGTTTAACTTTTCCTATCTTAAAGAATCATAGAATAATTTAGGTTGGAAAAGCCCTTTATGGCCATGAGTTTAACCAGTCTTCTCCCAAGTATATGAATATTTTGAATCTGGAAAACATTTCTGCACATAGGCACTTCACCATCACTTCTTTCACCTAGCTCCAAAAGTCAGGGAAATTTTATCAGCTTGTGTTCAAGTAACTAGGATTTGTTAGAGACTCTTCAGTGAAGACCTTTTCAGTCTCCCCCACAAAAAAAAATCATTAGGCAAGCTTAAAAAAAAGTGAGTCATGTTCTACTCTCTTGTTCTCTTAATTTCTAGGCTTTTTCTTTTTCTTGGGACAATATAACTTTTTCTTTATGTATTATTAAAAAAAACCCAAACAAAAAGCCCAGCCAAAACCCAGAACAAAAAAAACCAGCCAAACAGACAAGAAAAACCTCAACCCCTAACCAAACAGAGCACCCAGTCTGTTTCAAGTTGTTCAGCAGAGTTTTCTTCTATAAGTAATAGAGAGGCTGCAGTCCTTGCAGAGTTCTTGTTGACATGGCTGAACTGGGAGCAAGATAAACAGAGATAGAATCAGAGTGATACTTTTAGTCCCAGGGGAGCATTATCATCATATGCTTTTGTGAAAAGTTYGTCACTGCACAGCAAGAATGTAATGTATTAGAAAACTGTCCAGGCACAGAGAGTGGGATTTTTTATCATCAAGTGCTGCTGGGGTGCCATCTCTCCCCAGGAAAWGTTATCCAGAATCTAAGGGCCACCAGAAATTTTATCACTTCCTAGACTTTGCGTAATAAGTTCACAAGGTGCTATATAAAATACAGCTTTAAAAATCCTCCCGTATTCTCTCAAAGAGTAGAAAGGAGAGATACAGAAATGCAGCAGATGCTAGTTGTATTATTCAGCTGTATTTCTGGGAGGTGCATCTCCTGAGGCAGTCTGAACTATAGAAACGACAGAGAAGATTTTTTGCAGAATTGGTACTGGTTTTAACTTTTGCCTGGAAGTTAGTTCAAAGAAAAGAGGGAAGGCAGTCCAAACAGGAATGCAGCACTATTGAGGAGGCTGGTACACATTGGGACACTGTGACACAAACCAGCAAGGAAGACTTCTTTGTATAGAGACAGATGATCCAGGATAATTGGGCACTCATCTGCTGTGCATTGATGAGTGCTGATGGCATGTGACGCTCATAAAGAAGGACAAACTTGCAAGTAAAACACTGCTCAAGCTTTTCACAGTGTCTGGTGGGAATTTTAAAACAGGAGCTCTTTAATGAACTCAAGGAAAATTGTGAATACCAATGAAACTCATCAATTAGAAAAGTTTAAGCAATTCACCACACAAGTAATTAGCCACCACAGAAACATCATTCAGTTTACGCTCTGGTTCTCCTTGTCAAGAGRTCATCTGCATTTGAATCTTAAACTGAGACTAAAGTTTCATTATTTTATAAACATAATCTTTCAGAAAGCCAGATTGTACCCTGTCACATTAATCTTGAATGTGCATTCCCTGAGCAGCAGCTGCCAGTACTTTATTCAGAGATAACAGTACTTACTCYATGCTGTGAGTTGGTTTTATATCAGTCTCAGGTGAGGAAGATTGAAATAGTTGTAGATAGCTTTTAAAATGCTTTTTCCTAGCCACATGCATCTTCATGCTCAGCTGTGTCTGTGTGCTTAGGAGTTGCAATTTTTATTATTATTATTAATTTGGTTTTGAATTTATATAGTGGGATTTTTCTTTCTTAAAGTATTTTGTTTCATCTCACATGTCAGTAATGACACCTTTATATAAGGTGCACTTACTGATGGATCACATAATTATTGCACTACCAAAAATAGTTTTAGAAATCATTACATACTGCTCACAGGTCACCAAATACAGTGGCCATTCTTCTGAGGTTCTGTGCTGCCTCTTCAGGTCAATAAGATGTTTTGCCAAAAAGACACATTTCTGTGTGAACTTGTATTGAAATCAGTACATTTTCAAAGCTTTCTGATTTTAATGAGGAAGGCCATCTTTTGAGGGTAATTTTAGTTTAGTTTTTATTTTTCTTTTCTACCAGAAGCTGCCATTGTTACAGCTCTGTCTTTTCAGTGCCAGTACCACTGCTAATGCTGAGTTCTTTACCCAGCTTTTGTTTTTCCTGACTGCATGCACCACAGTTTGCCCTTTTCCTGCTTGGAGAGGCTTTGGCTGCTTTTTTCTAGGACTTATGAGTTTGTCAGTCAAATTCTCTTGCCATAGCTTSCTGTAGTTTTTGAAGTTTTGAGTCTTGAGTAAAGAATCAAAARTTTTAGATGGTTACAAGTGTTTTAGTGTGTTTTAGCAGAGAAGCATCTATGAGAGTGAAGAGTTTTCTGGTCTTCATATATCTACTCATCACTTCCTGTAATTGTAGGAAAAAAAGACCTGATGATCCAAGAGGCCCTGTCTACTTTTATTTTCCTATTAACCATCTTCATTTTTAGAAAACAAACAAAAACAAAACACAATAAAGAGCAAGTGCATAAACGGAGAGGAAAAAAAAAAAAAAAACAAGAAAGTACAAAACATGTTCTGACAACAGCTGGGAATTCAGCCCTTTGCTATGAATTCTGAGTTTGCTTTCTGCTACATCACAGTTCACTGATTACTAGCTTTGTCATGGTGTAATTTCCCAGAAATAATTTGTGTTGCAATTTTTTCTGCCACTCATGCAGCTTGTGTGGTAAGGCATTGCTGCTGAATGTCCTTCGACTTCCTAATGCCATTGCTTTGTATATAGTGTTGGAGACTGATTCAGAAGATGAATTAAAAAATCAGTAGTAATATTACATTATACTCACTATAGTACTGTGTAAAGATGGYCTGCAAGGACACATAAGGAAGTTCTGTAAAAATAAATATTTAATTCATGGCTAAAAAAGACTCTTAATTAATACATTATACAGTTTATTTGGAAACAAGCATTCTCAAGTCTTTTAATACTTATTCCTTGCATTCTTTCCTGATACATTCCATTTCACTTTGCCTCATGCATCCTGTTTAATTACAGTAAAAAAAAAAATTGTAGTTAGCAGGATGCTAGCCAAATACTCTCTTGCTGCCTTTCCTTCTGATGCTCCAGAAAGACACGCATGCATTTTCCCAGAGCAGTGTTTTGTAACTCTCTACTGTAATGGCTTATGTTAATTTTGAAAGGCAAGTAGGTCTTCCTGATTTCTAATGTAGATTAGGGCTAGTATTAAACTTAAGTAAGGCAAAGAGAAATAGAAATTACATTACTTCCTAGTCTTTAAGGTTGGCAGTTAAAAGTGGAGGGCTAAGCTTGGCATAAATCAGTTAATAATTTTTTCTCAAGCATGTTTTGATGACAGGTTAGACCATTTACRTCAAATAATGAAACAGTCTAATAGCTCTGTTCATTCCTGAAAATCACATTCAGTGATAGTTCTAAGTGCTGTATTCTGTGTGTGGAATGGCATTTTTTGGCCTGCAACATAGGATGATATTGAGATTCACAAACCCTGCAAATCTACAAGGAATAAAATTAATTAATAAATTAATAAAATAACTCCCAGTAAATTATGAAGAGTGCAAGATAAATGAAAAACAAAATTAAGTTGCCTTGGGCACACTTGGCATAGATTTAAATTTGGGTTTAAAATGAGAAGAGTTCAATCTTGTTTTGTCTTACTTTTTATTCTTTGTACCATGTAACATCTCAAAAGCTAGGCTAGTTTCRGGGGTAGCAAAAGTAAAATAACCTTGTGAATACCAAGTTTGAGAAGTGATGGTTCCTTTGCATAAGCGGATGTCTGGATTGCAGTTAATGCTGAAAGGAGGAAAAATGGGAGCCAATTAAGCTCAGGGAATGAGCAAAAATCTGCTTGGCTTTTAGGAAAGGCTGTGGATGATGTTTGTCTATAGTTTATGTCAGTAGCAAGGGTGGAGCTTGGAGTTAGGCTTGGATTTGGAGTCAGCTAGTGCTCAAGCGTGTTTCCGTTCCTCCTTTCCTCTGGTTCTCATTCTGCTTGTGAGTGAAACTCTGTGCTCTGTGCTCTCAGTGTCTGCAGAGCAGTGCCAGGACAACGCACAGTGGGTGASACTCGCAGTCTCACTCGCCCATGAGCAGATGGGCGTGGTTGCAGGGGGTATTTCCAAGATACAAGGTCGTTCTCTGAACACTAGCTGTCATCCTGCAAGGACTCTGAAATATGTTTGCCTTCTGGGAAATTTAGAACAAACATACAAGTGTTTATAAATGTACACAGCGCAATGTTCAGCTTGACAGTTAATGTTCCAGTTTCAGAAGCTACACATGCAGTGTTGCCTTCCATTTTAGAACTGTTTCCTGTTTCCATAAAAACTCTTATCTCTTTTCTCCCATCAGCCCAGTTAGCATTTCCTGGCTGTACCTAACTCTGTAGCACCTAGCAAGGTGTGAGAGTGTAGCAGTATGTCTTCATCCTGTTCTGCCTYCTCCTTCCTCCCGCTATTGACCAGCCCCAGCCCTCTGCCTCACTGCAAGTATTTGCAGATTATGTTATCTGTTGGCAAATGACCAGCAGAGTAGCTGCTTATGAGCTCTGTTTATTTGGTGCTGAGCTGTGGTGGTTTTGGCTTCCACTGTGCTGAAAAGGCTCAGAAAGGCTCATAAAATAACAAGAAAATCAGAGGCCTCCTCACAGTTACTGTAATGTACATTGTTTTGATAGGGAGAGATATTTATATAAACCTAAGTTACATATTTAGAGATGYTAGGAGTACACCAAGTCTTCTTCCTGCTGTCTGCATAATCACTGTTTTCCAGCAAGGTTATTGAGAAGGAGTTAGGCATTTTTAATCTATCCAGATGCACAAAAAAGAGAATCTGAAACCAAACACCCAGCTGAACTGATAAAATAATGTTGTTTGTATTTAATTGAGATGAAATAAACTGAAAAATGAAAACGCAGTTAGTATTTTCTCTGCACAAATGGTAAAGGTCTAAAACTCTTTCTTGTAAATCTAAAACTCCTTTTTGTCATAACTATTTTATTCAAAATCGTAATAACATTGCAGCAGTAAAATCAGATGATGTCTAGGAAGTTAATATGATGTGTAGCAATTGCATTGAAATACAATAATGTCACTGTTTTGTTGGGTTTTTTTTTAATAGTGCAAGGTATATTTGTGTTAGCTACCTATACAAATTTAGATAATTACCACTCTGCTTTAAACAACCTTTTGACCAAATAAAGAAAGATGGTCTCTAATGGAACTTAATATTCTCTATTGGGCCTCCAYGTCTTGTCCTCTTACAGTCCCCAAAATGCATTAATTACTACCATGGATTGTTCTATTTGTAAAGAAAGTCATATTGCTGCTGGAGCAAACACCACCGGTCCCTGCTTTTCAATAATCTGTCTTATTTTTAATAAGTCTTGAGATCATCTTTTAGAGAGTTGTGATGAAAAATAATGTTCTTAAGCAGTTCATTCCCAGCAGGTCAATAAAGCAGTTTTGTGAAGTTTTTGACATAAAAATTAAAGGATTATTGGGGAGCAGATATTGGAGGGGAAACTTTATGGCAGATGAAGAAATGAGTCAGAGAACACGAATCATTTGTATTGCAGGCAGAAATTACCATAAGTCTTAACCTTCTTGTTCAGGATCACAGACTTTATGCAGCAGATTGTTTCCACATGCAGTATTTTCTTTCTGACTCAGTGTTATCAAGGTGTGGTAGTGTTCAAGCTCAGACATAAGTGTTTGACTGTTGCTGAGCAGATCCTGTAGAAAATATATCTGTTGAAAGAATAACCTAAAAGGAATCAGTTAACCATTAACTGATGAAACAATAAGCAGCATATCTCTGGATCCCCAACATATGTATTTCTAATTTTTTATGTATCTGTAGATATATTAGTATCTTCACTGTATATCTTCTGACCTATGACATAAGGCCACATTCAAAACAGTAACGTGTTTGAGGCAGCTGAATCCCCAAAGGCTCTCCCGTTTTCTTCACCGACGCTGCCCCTGGTGAATCCAGTATATTGACCTGCAAATAAAGCTTCTGAACAGTGCTGGAGAAGGCTCCTACACCTTGGTGCAGATACAGCTTGTGMAAGTCTCTTTACCTGTCATTTATAATGTGCTGGACTTCTCTAGTATCATTGAGGACATAATGAAGTTCCTTTCTCTTTAGGTTATTGGTTGGCTCACCCTGGAGCGGCTATCCTGCTAACAGAACTGGGGATATATATGCATGTCCTGTTGGTGTGTCCAAAAACACATGTAAAAAATTGAATTTACAAGGTACGTTCTAGCCAACAATGTCTTGCTGCAATTGTTCCCTTTTCCCTCGTGTCTGTACAAGGCCAATCTACCTTATCAAAACCTTTCTTAGCTAGCTSTCTGTGTAATCTCAGATTCTGTGGGGGTGTGTGTGCTGCAAGGCCTCAGTGTCTGAGGCCAATTTCAGRGTCTCATCTGCTGATGAGACCTGTGTCTGTCCAAGCAAAAACTGGTGCCTGTGCTGGAGTGAGGCCAGGTGGTGCCAGCTGCTGGAGACACCGGGGGCTCAGTGTCACCCACTGGAGCAGCTGGGGTCTTCACCCTCCAGCCATGGGGCGGGAACGGTGTGGGTCTCAAAGCCAGCAGCTGGGGGATGCAGGGCTCTGTGTCATTGAAGGGCCCCGTGCTGGCATCCTGGAGCAGGCAGCTGGGGAGGCAGTGTCTCTATCTTCCCTCCATCAGGTAGGGGTGTATGTCTGTGCTTGTAAAATAAATATAAAATGGAGTTCAAGTTTGGAGACAGTGAAAATATGGGGCAGAATAGTGTGCCTCCTTCATGTTTAGTGGTGGCACAGACCATTCCTCCACTGTCCTTTGCAGTTTTTTGTCTAAAGCCTGATAGTGGATCAGAGGACTCTGAGGTTCCAAGGAATGTAACAGTAGCTGCTCAGCTGCAGCTACTCAGCCAGCCAAAAATATGCAGTAGGTAGGTCGTTTCTTCCTCTCTTTTGCCTTCATATCTCTTGAGGGCAGATTCACTAAATGACCCTACTTAATTCATGTCTATAGTTAATGGTTAGCAATTTATTTTTCCAAAGACTGGCTTTTATTTCTTTTGTCTCAGAATTGTATGCAGCCATTTGAAAAAGGCACCTTAGATTCTGAGAAATCAAGTTTTTGAAAAGGAGATCTAACTTTGTAAATTGTTTCTACATCTTATTTATTATTCTGTCATTACTTTTTAATTTAATTTTATTTCAGCTTTAATAAACATTCCAAATGTGACTGAAATTAAAGAGGACATGAACCTTGGCTTGACTCTGATACAGAACTCAAAAACTGGAGGATTTTTGGTATGTATCAAAATCATATCCTGTACACAGAGACTTCTGAGGAGAATGAAGAAACTAGAATTTTCCACATTTTTTCATAAATCCAACCTAAATGTATTTCATTATAGAGCATGAATTAGTATGTTTCTTGTGTATTTTMAAATATTCCATCCCACAGCAATTACCCAGCATCCAAAATCAATTATGGAATGTATCATTAATGCAGAAAAAATGTGAAGTTTCTCCTTCATCATTTATCTAAAGATCCTATCCTAATTAATGACCTAATATTGTAAGACAGTCAATAGGTCAGACAGTACAGGCAAGAATATTTCCACTATTAAATTCTTTAAGGTAGCCTTTTATAGCTCTGATTGTGCTTTCAAAACACTTTATATAATCTCTCCTCCACCATTTACACTTGCACAGGCACTGTTATCCTGACATATTAGAATTTCTAGTTCCATGGGTCTGTGATGTGTTTTACTTAGTTAGCTGGAGGAGGAGGATGCATTTTCCCTGTGTGTATTCTAAACCAGTATCTGTGTATACAAACCAGTATCCTTGGAGCCTGTAAAACAGAATTCTTACTCAAAATGAAGTAATGCCTCTTTAATTTGCTTTTTTGTGATCCTAATCATGAGCATGAAAACTGTTGCTGTAGGTGTAGGTGTATTCCAGTTTGATGTAGCGATGTGCAATACATAAGAGAAATAATGATTTACAGACAGAAGAGCTCTAGGCTGTCCTTAGGCTTTGTATTTCTTTTTGTATCTTCCTAGTAATCACAAAAATATTCAAGTATTTATTATATTTATTAACACATAGCACAGTTTACTGAAGTACTTAAAAGCAGGCCTAATTCCCAGCAGCTCTCTTGGAATTAGWAAAATTATTCATAACTTGAAAATACAGTAACAATGTATCCTGACCATTGGTTTGAAATGATTAAAAAAACTTATTCTGCCTCTTGAATAATATTTTCAACTACTGTTAATGTCCTATGCATATCCACTTTTAATCAGTATGAGTAACTGCAGAGTTTTAAAATGTCTCACGCAGGAAAATTTTTATTTTCTAATAGTATTTGAACTTCTCCTAGTTAAAAAGAATGTCCCAATCCATATGTTACTGATTGACTCTCCTTAAACTGCAGGAATTAAAAAAAAAAAAAAATAATAATTCTGAGACGTAAAGAGCCACGTCTTTGTCAACAGGAGTTCTTTTTGACATAAGGAGAATGGGGGACTGGAGACAGGTGCTTATCTGTGAGTCAGCCTCAACAAATACCAAAAGCCCCATAATATGCTGGTGGCAGGTATTGGGCTCCACATGCGTGGACGCCTGCTCGTAACTGCAAGCTGCACTCAGCCAGGACTTTGCTCCGAGGCTGTCTGTGGCAGCTGGCCTCCAGGATCTGYTCTTTGGGTTATTTCAGGGCTTCCTCCTCCCAGCTCATGTTCTCCTTCTTCCTGTGACCCCTCAGCCTCTGTCTGCCTGTCCCAGTCTGTGCTGCGTGCTCGGTGCCGGGGCTGCTCGGCTTGGGAGGGTGACCCAGGCTGGCCTGTCTGTGCTGCAGCTCCCAGGTCCTGCTGGTTCAGCTGTTTGATGCCATGGGATTGCTTCCCAYAGGTGTTCTGAGTACAGGGCAGTCATTTCCCACACGCTCATTACATTTTTCTGAGGCACCCTTAGTCCTGCTGAAGGATTTCACTGATGGTTAACATTTTTCTGGATTTCCCATCTAAATTTCAATCAGTTTGTTTTTGAGGCAGTGCTKTGCCTTTACAATTGACAGAAGCGGCTCTCAGCTCCCTGCATGTAAAATCATCCTTCTGTATTTCACCCCAACAATCATTCACCTTTCTCCTTTGCCTTGTTAAACAAATAGTTTTCTGGCTGAAATGTGCTTTTTAAAATACACCTCTCTCAAACACCAGTGACCAGGTCTATGCTGTAATTCCATGAGAGTTTTTCTCAGCTACTATACAGGAAATTTGGTATTTCCTCAACTCAACAGCTTCTTGTCACATATTTTTAAGCCATATTTACTTTTCATGATGGCTGCATGCTTCTGGTCACCCTGCAGTCATCCAGTGCCTGATCCATCAGCTCCTCTCCCTTCCAYTCAATGACCTTCCAGTTTATGTCCGCATTTCTTAATGTTAGTCCTGAAGAGCAAGTCTGTGCCCGTTTATAATATTCTGCCTTTCAAGTTCACCAGTCCTTGATATGTGATCTTCCCTGCATTGATGATGCATCTTAAACTTCTGACTGAGTCAATGCTATTAGTGCCCCCCCCTTCTTTTTTTCTGGAAGATCAACAAAGATTAATAGAACATTTTTACTTTTTGCTCCAAGATTAACATCACAGTTTTGAACAACCACCAACACAGAAAAAAGATTAGAAAATGTGTGAGTAAGATTGATCTAAAACTTGTAACTGTGARGGACAGAAACTCTCCTCCAACTTCATAGTTACCATTAGTTACCATTATAGATGATTTATTTTGCACCTTTCACCTCTCTAAAAATCTGTGCTTTCCAGTAAGAATTAACCATGCTCAATGTAGCAGCTAAAAAAAAAAAAGCATTTATCTCATGATCAGATAATGTGGATATACTTCCTTTCTCATCTAAAAAAAATCTGCCATCTGGTCAAATATCTTAGGGTAGTTTGATGTTGTCTCTCACTAGTAAACCAGTGGATGTTTTAGCTGATTTTTTAATTTACTTTTCATTTTAATTAACTGTTTTTTGCCTGCCAGTATTTTTGGCAAAAGTGTAGTAGTCCTTCTTTTCCTAAACAGAGGTGGTGCAACCAGACTGTATATGTGTAAGCAAGCTATAATTTCTTACAGAATGATTGGAGAGAGGTTATGGTGTTTCTAGTATTTTAAGGAAGAAATACACCCACTGACCCTCCACCTCGACCCACACACACTAGATTCTCACGACAAAATTCTGTCTTAGTACGCGGTTGATAGAAATATATATAAAGAAGACGTAAATAATAGCTGGCTGATCCAGCTGAAAACACTTCTTTTTGCAGGCTGTTTTCAGGATTATTTTACCCCAAAGCCAATGAACCGTGTAGCGGGG